ACGGGGTTACTCACAGTTAACAGCTAGTAAGTGCCCTTATCCCCAAACCCTACAGTCGCCAGAATCCAGTTGTGAAAGTCCCTCCCAACCCCTTCAACTGTTGTCAAGATCCTACTAGCACTGAATAATTCCCCCTAGACTTGGTCTGCCTAACAATTGTGAACATTAACAGAAAATGAAAAAATAATAAATGCAATTTAACTGGGCAGATATCCTTGGCAGAACAATCACAAACCAAAAGTTGTCATACCTGCTGAGGGGCCTGTGATGGGCTGGGTCTCAGAAACCCTCTTGGGACTGCCACTTGATGTGCTGAGACTACCTCTGAGCCCATTTTCCCTGGCAGCTTGGGACTTCAGTACCCTGTCTTGTTGAGCCAGACGCGCTAACTTGCTGCAAACACAGACCCAGGTGTGAACCACATCCCCCAAAAGCTGCAGGCTTAACTGAAAACAGCTTAAGAAGTGCTCCTGTCTCCAACATCCAGATACCCAGCTCCCAATGGGGTCCAAACCCCAAATAAATCCGTTTTACTCCATATAAAGCTTATACAGGGTAAACTCATAAATTGTCCGCCCTCTATAACACTGATAGAGAGATATGCACAGCTGTTTGCTCCCCCAGATATTAATTACTTGCTCTGGGTTAATTAATAAGCAAAAAGTGATTTTATTAAGTATAACAAGTAGGATTTAAGTGGTTCCAATTAACAACAGACAGAACGAAGTAAGTTACCTAGCAAAATAAAATAAAACACACAAGTCTAAGCCTAATACATTAAGAAACTGATTACAGATAAAATCTCATCCTCAGAGATGTTTCAATAAGCTTCTTTCACAGACTAGACTCCTTTCTAGTCTGAGCCCAATCCTTTCCTCTGGTACAGTCCTTGTTCCAGCTCAGGTGGTAGCTAGGGGATTTCTCATGACTGCAGTCTCCTTTGTTCTGTTGCACCCTCTTATATACCTTTGGCACAAGGCAGGAATCTTTTGTCTCTTTGGGTCCCCATCCCTCCTTCTAAATGGAAAAGCACCAGGTTTAAGATGGATTCCAGTACCAGGTGACATTGTCACATGTCCTGTGAGACCCCAAGCCTTCATTCTTCCCAGCCTGATTCACAGGAAGGCTTGCAAGTAAACAGAGCCATCTGCAGTCAATTGTCCTAATTGATGGGAGCCATCAAGATTCTAAACCACCATTAATGGCCCACACTTTGCATAACTACAATAGGACCTCAGAGTTACATTTTATATTCCTAGTTTCAGATACAAGAATGATACATGCATACAAATAGGATGAACACACTCAGTAGATTATAAGCTTTGTAATGATACTTTACAAGAGACCGTTTGCATGAAGCATATTCCAGTAGCATTATATTCACACTCATTAGCATATTTTCATAACATCATATGGAGTGCAAAGTCACGCCCTCCTACTGAACTTACTGCCAGAGACTTGGACACTGTCCATGGCGGAGGCCGTATACCTAAAATTCCTCTTTGACTCTCCTCTGGGGCAGACACTCCTGTGTCCCCCAAAAGGGAAGATGACCCTGATCCAGATGTGGACTCACAGCTACCAACTATGACAGACCCTTCACTGGCCAGCAAAATCCCCTCCCTTTCACTCAGGCTGGGCTTGCTTCCAGCTACAGAGTCCTTGGGGTCTGTTCCCACCGCAGCAGTCACCAGGACCCCAACTTTCACCCCCAGGATTCATATCTCTGTGCACCTCTTCCACTCCATTACAGCCAGTTCATGCTTCAGGGTCTCAATTTATGCTTGTCTCTGGGCCTCAATTTCTTTGTCTTTTAAGTCCAGGGTTTGCTGGTGTGCAGCCTCTTGTCTGGCTGCTTCTACCTCCATGGCAGCCTTTTCCCAGGCAAATTGCGCATCAGTTTCCATTTGCTTCCCTTGAGACTGTCACTCGATCGGCTGGGATACCACTGAGAACCCCCTCCTGCCAGAACAGGTGCCCCTCCACTCCTGTCTTGCTGAGTTAGACACTCCAGTCAGCTTCAGCACAGACACAGAGGTTGGGCCACACCCCTCTACAGTTCACTGAAACTGAGATGCACTCATCTCAGGGCCTTCTTAGTTAACAGAGACTTTCCCAGCACCCAGTGTTCAGCCTTTCTGGGCAATTTGCAACTTGTGCAGTTCTAGCTTCTTTTGATCGTCACTCTTACTTATTTTGCTTACTTTTCTGTCCCTATTTCCCTTACCCAAAATAAGCAAACAGAAAATAACAAACCGGTAACCACTTTGTCTGTTCTCCAGCCACCACACTTAAAACTTACTTAAAATCACTACCAGTATCTCAAAGCAATGAGCTGTGCACAGATCCTGCTCAACTACGCCATTGTAACGGGTTGGGTCACAGAAACCCCCTTGGGACTGCCACCTAATGTGCTGAGACTCTCTCTGAGCCTGTTTTCCCTGTCAGCTTGGGACTTCAGTACCCAGTCTTGTTGAGCCAGACGCACTAGCCTGCTGCAAACACAGACCCAGGTGTGAACCACGTCCCCCAAAAGCTCCAGGCTTAACTGAAAACAGTTTAAGAAGTGCTCCTGTTTCCAGTACCCAGATAAATCCATTTTACCCTGTATAAAGCTTATGCAGGGTAAACTCATAAATTGTTCACCCTCTATAACACTGATAGAGAGTTATGCACAGCTGTTTGCTCCCCCAGATATTAATTATTTGCTCTGGGTTAATTAATAAGCAAAAAGTGATTTTATTAAGTATAACAAGTAGGATTTAAGTGGTTCCAAGTAATAACAGACAGAACGAAGTAAGTTACCAAGCAAAATAAAATAAAACATGCAAGTCTAAGCCTAATACATTAAGAAACTGATTACAGATAAAATTTTACCCTCAGAGATGTTCCAATAAGTTTCTTTCAGAGACTAGACTCCTTTCTAGTCTGGGTCCAATCCTTTCCCCTGGTACAGTCCTTGTTCCAGCTCAGGTGGTAGCTAGGGGATTTCTCATGACTGCAGTCTCCTTTGTTCTGTTGCACCCTCTTATATACCTTTGGCACAAGGTGGGAATCTTTTGTCTCTTTGGGTCCCCATCCCTCCTTCTAAATGGAAAAGCACCAGGTTTAAGATGGATTCCAGTACCAGGTGACATGGTCACATGTCCTGTGAGACTCAAAGCCTTCATTCTTCCCGGCTTGACTCACAGAAAGGCTTGCAAGTAAACAGAGCCATCTACAGTCAGTTGTCTTAGTTGACGGGAGCCATCAGAATTCTAAACCACCATTAATGGCCCACACTTTGCATAACTACAATGGGACCTCACAGATATATTTTATATTCCTAGTTTCAGATACAAGAATGATACATTCATACAAACAGGGTGAACACAGCAGATTATAAGCTTTGTAATAATACCTTACAAGAGGCCTTTTGCATGAAGCATATTCCAGTTACCTTATATTCACACTCATTAGCATATTTTCATAACATCATATGGAGTGCAATGTCACAGGGCCCTGCCCCAATTACCTGTAATGAGTCATTACCTAAATAACCAGCTAATGAAAGATAGTGGGAGGGGAACTAAACTGTGTGTTGAAATTCATGTGAACAGGAATGTTCCCTCTTGTGTTATTACAGCAGCCGGAAGGAGTGTGATATTGAATGGTACTGCCTTTAGATGGATGGAAATAAGTCTGCTGGATATTGGGTGGCATCCTAATACTGAATACTTGATATCTTTATGCACAAGAAATCCTACGCTGTTAACATGTTTGTCCTCTCCACTGTAATAGAGTACATGGCCTTCTTCTGTTAATGCCTCTCCAAAGTTCTTCCATCCGACCTCAGAGATTCCTAGGAGGTGCCAGGTGTATTGTTCCATTGGTACAAGTCTACGCTCCTAGAACAGACTATGACGATGAGCAAATTGAAAATTTTTACAATCAGCTCCAAGACATCATTGATAAGGTACACAAGAAAGATATCCTGATTGTACAGGGAGACTGGAATGCTAAAGTGGGTACTAATGCACAGGCAGATTGGCGAGATTATTGTGGCCCTTTCTGTTATGCGGTAACCAATGAGAGAGTACTGAGAATTTTGGAGTTTGCCAGCTATAACAATCTGGTTCTTGCAAACACATTAGGAGCACATAAAGCATCCAGACGATCAACATGGCATGCACCTGATGGTTTACATCACAGTCAGATCGACTACATCAGGGGTTCTCAAACTGGGGGTCGAGACCCCTCAGGGGGTCACGAGGTTATTACATGGGGGTAGCGAGCTGTCAACCTCCACCCCAAACCCCACTTTGCCTCCAGCATTTATAATGGTGTTAAATATATAAAAAAGTGTTCTTAATTTATAAGAGGGGGATCGCACTCAGAGGCTTGCTATGTGAAAGGGGTCACCAGTAAAAAAGTTTGAGAGCCACTGGACTACATCATGGCACAAAACTGATTTTGTTCTGGGATCAACAGAGCTAAAACAAGGAGCTTCCCCGGTGCTGATACTGGAAGTGATCATGACCTTGTGATGCTAAACTTTTGTGATGCTAAACTGCGGCTAAGGAAAATCGTTAGGCCAAAGTTCACCAGAATCAAGTTTGACTTTGAAAGACTTAGAGACCAAAGTATTGCAGAGTCATTCCAAGCAATGATCATCGGAAAATTTGCTCCGCTGCTTGCTCTAGAGGAAGACATAGAAACAATGACCAACAATTTGAATGTTGTAATGAATGAGGCAGCAATGGACATTCTTGGGAAACATCGTAAGAAGACAAAACCTTGGGTCACAAATGAAATACTACAAATCTGTGACATCAGAAGAGAACTCAAGAGAGACAAGAACAGCACTGAGGGAGCTGATAAATACAAAGCGATTGACAGAAAGATCAAGAAAGGAATGAAGGTGGCCAAGGAGATATGGGTTGAAAAACAATGCTCTAAAATTGAAGAGTGTTATCAATAATAAAAATAGCAAACGAGCCTTCCAGATTGTAAAAGATCTGATGAAGGAAAGATGGACCAAAGCTAATACAATTCTAGTCAAAGAAGGGAACAGTCTTACAGAAGAAAAGGACATCAGCAATAGGTGGACAAATTACTGCTTTGATCTATACAACTACCAGACAAATGGAGATCCTAGAGTCGTAGACAGCCCAGATTCAAAAGAGGAGGATGACTTTCCAACACTGCGTGAAGAAGTGGAGTCAGCTGTGAAGTCACTCAAGAATAGAAAGGCTACAGGTATTGATAACATCCCAGCCGAACTGATGAAATTCGGAGGAGAAATAGTAATAGATGTACTCACCAAGATCTGCAACAATATCTGGCAGACCGGTGAGTTTCCCTCCACATGGACACAGTCACTAATGATCACTCTGCCAAAGAAAGGCAACCTGCAATTGTGTCAAAATTACCGGACCATCAGCTTAATTAGCCATCCCAGCAAAGTGATGTTGAAAGTCATATTGAACAGATTGAAACCACAAGCAGAGAATATCGTCGCTGAAGAACAGGCTGGCTTTTGTGCTGGAAGAAGTACCACAGAACAGATTTTCAATCTTCGTGTTCTATCTGAGAAGTACTTACACCACCAGTCGTTGTTGACTTCAAGAAGGCGTTTGACAGAGTATGGCATAAAGCTTTCTGGGCAACCATGAAGAAGTACAATGTTGGTCATAAGCTTATTTTTACCATTAAACAACTGTATTCCAAGGCCAGCAGTGCAGTTCTTGTCAATGGCATAATAGGAGAATGGTTGTTCACCACTGTTGGAGTCCGACAAGGCTGCCTTATTTCACCCACACTGTTCAACATCTATTTGGAGCGCATGCCCTAGAAGATCACATATGCACAGTCAGCACTGGGGGGGCGAACAATCTCAAATCTTTGGTTCGCTGATGACATTGACAGCCTGGCAGGTAGTGAAGATAAACTTTTCAACCTTGTGAAACGATTGGATGAAACCTCCACAAAATATGGTATGGAAATCAGTGCAGAGAAAACCAAGCTGATGACAAACAAACATGACAGGATCAGCTCACATATCACTGTCAGTGGACAAGAGTTGGAGACAGTGAAACAGTTCAAGTATTTGGGGGCAATCATCACAGATGAAGGATCAAAGGCAGAAATTATGGCAAGAACTGCACAAACAACAGAAACAGTGGCAAAGCTAAAGCCAATTTGGAGGAACAAGAACATCTCCCTGGAATCCAAACTGAAACTGCTGCACGCATTGGTCATCTCCATTTTTCTGTATGTGTGTGAGACATGGACCTTTACAGCAGAACTTGAACGGAAAATACAGGTAGCGGAGATGAGATACTTCCCTAAAATCCTGGGCATCTCCTACTTTGACCATGTCACTAATGAAGAGGTCCATAACATCATCACCCAATGCGCTGGGTCATATGAAAACCTCCTGACGACCGTGAAGAAGCGCAAGCTAAAGTGGTACGGCCATGTAACAAGATCATCTGGCCTATCCAAGATCATCCTCCAAGGGATAGTACAGGGGAAGAGAAGAAGAGCTAGACAGACGAAGAGATGGATTGACAACATAAAAGAGTGGACAGGAATGGACTTTGCAGAGACTCAAGCACTGACACACAATCGTCAGGGGTGGAGACAATTGGTTGATTGCTTGTCAATGATGGTGCCCCAATGACCAATGTGGTTATGGGAGTGATGATGATGATAATGGAAGGGGTGTGGTGCTTTGTTTGGGACCAGGCTGAGGTCACCCCCTGCCTGCTCGCTGTTCCAAGATGTAGGCACAAATTACATCCAGGATTTCCCTGGCCTGCTGTGATCCAGCACCAGTATGAAAGTATACTGGATCAGGCTGTCGGTAAAGGCTTTACAAGCCAGTCCTGTCCTGTGACCACTCTGTCCTTAAGTAGCTGCCTTTAGTCTCACAAATATTATGAAGTGCACAGCACGCCACAATAATGTGGACGGAATTGGCCACATTGGCATCCAACTGAGTATGCATGCATCACCAACGAGCCTTCAGCCATCCAAAGGCATACACCACTACCATCCTGAAACTGTAGTTTGTAGTTGATTTCACGTTTTTCAGTACCATTGATGTCAGGGTAGGTTTTCATTAGCCAGAGCAGGAGCAGGTATGTGGAGTCTCCCAGAATAAACATGGGCACAGAGACACCATACAAAACCATGTCATTTTTGGGAATAAAGTCCCTTCCTCCCCTTTTAAATATACCGTAGTCTCAATGTCCTCAGCGCCCTGGCATCATGAACCTTTCCTGTGTATCCAAACCCCAGCGTTCATGAACCTGCCTTTGTGATCGAAGAACGAGTGAATAGTAATCTTTTCGATTGACATATTCACTCACTCCTTTTGGTGGGCAAAGTATGGGAATGTAGGTGCTATTGATGGCCCCCATGCAGTTTGTAAACCCCATTCTCTGGACCCCAGCTATACTTTCTGGAACTTTGGTGATGTCAACCACCTATGGTTAGATGAAAGTGTTGATAGCTTTGCAAACCTGTATCATCATGAGCCCGAAAGTGAAATTCCCTACAATGAAGTGGTTTGTGACTGACCAATAGCTGTCCAACATTGCCAGCTTCCAGAGGGCAATAGCGACCCTCTTTTGCTCCAATATGGGTCTACAGAACTGAGTGTTCTGCCACTGTAACGTTGGGGCCTGCTCCTCATGGAGCTCCAGGAATGTCTGCTTCTTCCTTCTGAAGTTCTGCAGCAACGGGTCAATATCCCAAGTTTCCAAGACAATGTGCTGGTTCTCCCGGTCCAGAAGCAGTGGTTCACCCAAGAACATACAGTCAAACACTGGCAGGGGGTGTGGGGTGCAATCTCTGGGAGGGAGATTGGGTGCAGGAGGGGTCTCAGGTCTGGGGCAGGGGGTTGGGGTGCAGGAGGGAGTGCGGGGTGCGGCTCTGGAAGGGAGTTTGGGTGCGAGAGGGGGTTTGGTGTGCTGGCTCTGGGAACAGGCTCAGGGCTGAGGCAGGGGGTTGGGGTGCAGGAGGGGATGAGGGGTGTGAGCTCCGGCCAGGTGGTGCTTATCTCAGGTGGCTCCCGGTCAGTGGCGCAGCGGGGTTAAGGCAGGCTCCTTACCTGCCCTGGCTCTGTGCCACTCCCAGAAGCGGCTGGCATATCTTTGTGGCCCCGGGGGGAGGCCAGGGGACACCGTGCACTGCCCCTGCCTGGAGGCATCGCCCTCGCAGCTCCCATTGGCCACGGTTCCCGGCCCATGGGAACTGTGGAGTCAGTGCTTGGGGCAGGAACAGCACGTGGAGACCCCCTGCTCCCTCCCAGCCGCTTCCAGGAACGGCGCAGGGTCAGGGCAGGTAGGGAGCCTACCTTAGCTCCGCTGCGCTGCCAGACTTTTAGCGGCCTAAAATCTCCCAGTTTGGCTTCAGTCGCCTCCAGGAGATAGAGCCTGATTCTGGGAGACTGCTGGTGAAACCGGAAGGGTTGGCAACCCTAGGGGGTCAGTGAAAGGTAACTGGGCGTGCACGGCGAATGAAGGGGACAATGTGGGTTGGCGAATGAAGGGGGTTTGTTGAGGGGGATGGGATGAGGGGGTGCCAATGGGGGCTAGTGGGTACAATGGGGGTCAGTTGGGGGGAATGGGGGGCAGGGGGCAGAGGGGGATTTAAAAACTG